GAGCGGGCGGTCTGAAGGGCTGAAAACTGGGTCATGAAGACATCTGAAAGAGGGTAAAAAAGAATTATCTCTGAACAAAAAATTAGTTAACGATCAAATAATATATCCTTTCTGATCCAGCAACTCCACCACCAATTATTCAAATTAACATGTTTTCTAAGCTCTGGTAACCACAAAAGTCTCCAGTTTCATATTCCCAAGTCGGCTCTCACTGCTCGTACCTCATCTAAAGGGTTAAGCTGGTCATCAAAGTATTTTGTGTTGCTGGTGCAAATACAGCAGCATGTCATTGAATTCAACCAAAATACTCCTTTCCCAGCTTCCCATGTACCTGACAGTGGGGACCAAATCCTGTGTGGCTGTGAAGATTATGGTCCTACGAATCAAGCGCTATTTTTGGAGCAGGATTAATACGTTTTTTTCTGATAGTCCTATTTTCACTCCCATAACTGACTGCATGCCAAAAAGCTTTGCTCTCTAAAGGCCTGAAATCCATCAACTTATGAGGATAAATTACAATGTTCAAAGTCAGTATGACTGTTTCTGGTCTAGGGACTCAGAAAGCAGAAAGGAGCCCTTCTCTGCAAGGGTCCAATCGTGGAAAACATTAAATATCATCCTCCATCTCCTCTGATAAACCTCTCTTGATGAAACGTGACACATGACAACTTCTACCAGGACTTGAGAGACAACAGGGCTGCCGGAGGAGTACAGGCAAACCCAGCACCCAGACACACGCCTGAGGAACCCGCGGTGGCCTCACCAGATTTGATGTTGCCGTCATCCCGACAGATGCCGTTCCAGCGGGTGTACAGCGATGTGCTGTGCATGGTGTCACTGACGTGCTTCACTTCCTCCTGCTTTTGCCGAATCTTCTCCCAGTTTCGTACCAAAAATACATGGTGTTTTAGCACAAAATTCCTACGGAAATTAGAAAAGCATTGAAGAAACACCTTTGTACCGTAAAATTAATTCCTTAATGTAGTGAAAAAGACAGATATTCAGAGGGACGCTTCTGGTGCCAGTGGAGAGGAACTCCACCCTAGCTGGCTAAAGGAGAACTAAGAACGGCTTACTCAGACATTTAATGATGCCCTATCTTACAGAAAAAAATAATTTCAATGTTCGAACAACATTCCATTTCTGAGGAAAAAACCCACGGCAGTAATTCCTTACCTTTCTCTGTTCGACATGGGCTTCATCTGCAGCTGCGGCGTCAGCCTGGTCGGTGCGTTCACACTTTCGCTGGGTTCCTCTGGGATGTGGCCCCTCTGGAAAACAGATCATTCTGGTAGACAGGAAAAACTGTGCCATGAACTGAGCAAAGCAGGAAAAGTAGCTCCTGAGACAGAACCTGTAGTATTTCTCTGCAGTATTTCTCTGAATTTTAAAATATACAAATACACAGGTTTTCAGTCTGATGGAACTGTCTGATGGAACTGATTTCCTATCAACCTCTACCGGCAAAAAAATCTGTTTTTACTACTTACTCTCTTCTTTAGCTTGTGCTTTGACTTCCTTTTCTCTTTCGACCGCCCAGGCCTTCTGTGGGTGCTCACAGGCTGATTGCTTTTGCTTGAAAGTCCATTCATTCGCTGACTTTTACCCCCAATTATTCCTCTGCATTTGTCGAAACCACATTTGCAGAGTTGCTTCAGAAAAACAAAAGAGAAATTACTTTAAACAAAACACAAACCATTTAGATTATCCCTAACTATTATAAAGAAGCTCTTCTGTCTAATTCAACACAACAGCTTTTGTTAATTGGCCTTCAACTTTACAAAACTGTTCTTGGTGAGTTTTTTCAAGGTCTTGCACTGTGATCCTTACCTGTTTTTCAACATTAAATGAATGAAAATTGTAGTCGTAGGTCAATTCGGTGCCAGCAGGCATGTCTTTAAGGGCATACAATCCAATCCGGTAAACACCATTAACAGACCTACAGGGAAAATACAACAAAATATTCCCAATAATTAAAAAGAAAATTGTCTTTGTCCACACAGTGGAAGTGTTGGAGACAGGACGCAACACTTCCGCTGTGCCCTGGATTACGCGCTGTTTGCGTTTATCTCTTACAAGAAACTCTGAAAGCCAAAAAAGTGAACGCTGTATTTACAAAGAGCAGGAAGTTGTGCTTCAAATACAGAAACTCTACTGGCTATCCGCTGTACTGCCACCATCGCTGATTCCAGTTACAACCATCTGCTATTTCACTGTAAGCTATTCATTATAAATTTCTCAGAAGCACTTCCTATCAGTCTGGCATTGGCTTTCTCCTGATAACATAGTGCTGATACCACACAGGGTGTGCTGGAATGAGACTACTTCCCTGTTTGGCTGCTTTAAAAAAAATATTTGAATTGCCAGGAGGAAAGAATACATACACATAGATTATTTCATGGCATTACCTACGCTTCAGAATTTGTAGCAGGTTAACAGTATGACAAACAACAACGTTGGATGTGCCAGAAAACTTAACGCCCTGTCTCCAAAACATCCAACGCTTGACAAAAGGACATTACTTCTCTTGTGCAACACAAGCATGACAGTAAATATTGCTGACACTGCTCAGCTTGATTCCCCTCACTATTTTTAGATCAGATTCTCTTACATGATCTGGTTATCTATCTTAGCCACTGGTGTACCAGTCTTCCCGTAAGCAGAATATATTTTTCTTACCATTTCTGCATCTCACAGTTAGGATTACAGCTGTGGTTGATAAAACGAGCCTCATTGCCCATACGATAACTATCTATCACCATTCCACTGTCTAAATTCAGGCAGTAATGATCACTGTGATTATGGTACTGTTCAATCATCCGGTTCCTAGGAAGCAACACAGGAAAGTTATTTGTGATTCTGCCTGTTGCTGCAAAGCAAGCAGGGAGTAACATAGTAATAGTGCATTCAAGGATTCTGAAAGAGGGTTTTGAAAAAAACAAAGCAATTATCATCTTTTATATTTTATAGAACCGTACACCTAGAGATGGAGGAAAACCATTATTATACCTATTTTTATAAGTCAAGGCCATTGACAGAGCTTGGATTAGAATTTAGAAATTTGCTCTTCTGGAATGCTCCCTTTTGGGTTCTGCAGATTATGTGTATACATTTCATGTTGATAACCTGTGTATGGAAGAGAAAATGCAAGTATACATTCTTTGGTGTGTCTATGGATGCATGTGTACAACAATCAGCCTCTCCCTTTCATTATCTGGGACTGGATACAAATTCTGGAATCACATCCATGGATCTCTTCAGCAAGAGAGCAACAGCAACAAGAGTCAGTTGTGTTAGCAGTTATCTCTGTACGAGAGGATTGCACTTGTCTTCTGACGGAGCTCTAAGAGCAGCAAGTATGTCCCTCCAATCTCAATTACCCCGGGATGCTATGCAGTTAACAAGACAACAATTTATTTATTTCATTACTTATGAATACTCCCACTTGCTCTTTTTTCTCATACCTATCCGCAAAAGCGCGTTTCCCTTCCTGCCCCATTCTGCTCCTCAGTTCTACCTGGCACAGTTCAAATCCTTCACAGTGCTCCTAATTATATCAAATTCACATCCACTTCTGGCATTCGTCATTTACAGAGCACATGCGGCAGATGATGCATTCCAAACACTCATCATTCCCCTCTATTTGACTGAGAAAAACTTGTTTGGTCCAAAAAGCTGAATTCTAAGCCTTCCTTCTGGTGGCAGCGACCAGAAAGGCATTCTTTCTCCCCCCTCACTCTCCCTTTCATTTCTGCCTAAGGATTGCCCAGCAATAAAAACAATAAATTGAGCCGTCCATGCTAAAGCAGCAAATAAATATTTCTACCTGAATTCCTGCTCACTAACAACTTCTCCCAGATATTCAATGATAAACTGTCCTGCTTTCAGGGGTTCTTTGGTACGAATACCCCATCCTTTCTCCTCGGCCCGGAACCTTTCCAGGCACTGCACCCATTCATGCCTCTGTATCCGCTGGTTACAACACTGTTCACCGCAAGGGCAGGTGTTTGGTGAACACTCCGCAAAGATCATCCTAAAATCAAAAACAAAGAAGTCAAAGGAAGGTGAACAGCACGCTTTAGGTCTACCATTCAAAGAAAAAAAAAAAGCCTCTGTTAAACAAAAGTTACTAAAATGCTTCTTGTTTTCAAGGTATAACTCACACAAAGGTTCACAGCCTGGCTCTCACCACTATTCAAAAAGCAAAACAGAGCTTTTAATGGGATCTTCCTCTGAAGAAAAAGGTGAGGGAGCATATGTGCAGCAGACAGTTACCCTGTAACAGTACTGCTATTGCTGGGGTTGCATCCAGCACAGCTCTTTTCTGAAGATACTATTAGCTGACGTGAAATAATAGATTTACTGAAATTCCCTTGTCATAGCCAAGCTGTTCCTAACCTGTTAAGACAGTCCTCCACGCAGCCCTTTCCGTTGTCATCCTCTGGTTTCTTACAATTGCAGGTGGTGGCCTCATAGCCAGAAAGAGGTTTGACATCCACATAGACATCTGGAGGGAAGAAAAACAACAAAAAACCAAACCCAAACAGGGAAAAGAATTCCTTCCAGGTGAAAAACCAGAACTATTTATATGTAATATTTTCATTTCAAATGCATAAAGCAAGAAAAGAAGGTAGGTCTTTGTAGGATGAAGAGCATGACAGAAAGGAGAGGTGTTATGTGAAAATTCCCCATTTAACACATTTTAGTAATAAGATTTTACTTACTAGAACGGATTTTTTTATAAAGTGGGACATCTGGCTTTTTATACAACTAAAAGGAAGAGAAAGAAAATTTTAATCACTTGCATAACTACATCTGTTATTCAAAAGAATCAGGGAAATCATATTCTGAGCATACACAACAGTTCTGTAATCATTACTAGAAAATACGTCTGCATTCTCTTCTTTAGGCTCAGACTACAGCAACAAATAGGTCAAAAAAGCACCTGAATAAGCAGAACTTAGGCTTAATGAGTTAGCTGAGCATTTTTTCTAACATACTGTTTATTCTGCCCATACTATCTGAGCAGAACTGTGTGGATAACAGATATCATGAGCACAGACTATTCTGAACAATCACATCCTTTTGAATACTGAAAAGAAGAATAAGTATTTTAAATCTACTTCAGAGAAATGATCTTTGGTGGAAATAGCACGTGCCAACACTTAAAAAAGTGAAAAAGAAAAATTAAGGCGCCTATCAAAACGGTGACTATAGGTAGGAGCCAAGAGAAACACAGATTCATCTTCTAATTAGAGAAACTTCCTCTGCAGATGGAGATGGCTGGAGGGAAAAGGGAAGCTCAGATCACATTTCACAGCTTCATATGCATCCCATCCTTTCAAACAAGCTTTAAGGAATAATTTCAAACTACTGCACACTTCACACACCTTTAGGGCATTAATAGCTTTCCCTCAGTGACATCCACGGCAGACCGGCACTGTACAACCGGTACAACCGCCGCACAAACAAAACGACTGCAAGGGTTTTCAATACTCCCAGCAGACACGGAAAATGCCGAGGAAATGGATCATGGATGTTTATTATTTATGTAATGTTGGACAGATGTAAGGAATCTTCAACACAGCCAGAAACTGTCCTCGGCTGAAATGTCACCACCGATCTTTACTGCATTATTAGATTTTAGTGGTATTACAGAGAGTGGCTGGAGCCACAGCCACCTGGGAATTCATCTTGGTCATTTACATGCTGAAGTTACATGGCTGAGAGTGGTTCCTTGCAGCGGAGCTCGGGACAGATTTACCCTCGAGCCCCAAATCGTGTGTTAAATTGCTTGGTGGAAACTTCGCAGGGAAAAATATTCCTATTTTTAGGTTTGCACATATTTAAAGCTCTTTAAAAAGAATGCGACTGTTAAACAGTTTTTCTTCTTTCCTCAGTATGAAAATTTCAGGTTGCAAGTGAAAAATAAATTCCACTCTGCTTGGGACTGATCCAAGAAAAATGAGGCCTGAAATTTCTCAGTGCTGTTGGCAGTACATCTGAATTCTCCCGAGGCATGTCTAAAACAAGATCATTGCAGAAAGCAGGCACGCTACCAAAATAAAAGTCTGCAGTAAAATTAATGACCTTTTTCAGCAGAAGCCTGTAGGGTTGCTATTTTGCAAGAGATGGAATAATGGAAATTATTCACATTAAATACACATGTACATCCTTGTTTTCCTCGTACAGTGGCAGCAACAAGAATATCCATCAACACACTGGATACATAAACACAGCTCTCACGTATGAATCCTGCTGTTTTCTCTCTAAGACTTCTGATCACAATCTCGGCAAGCAGTAACTTTTTATCGTGTACCTGGTTGTGTTTCCACTGCCAGAGGATGTCGTAAGGCAGCTGGAAGTCAATTCTCTTTTGTCTCAGATACTTTCCTGAAACAGAAAGGTTTGTGAGTCGCACACACTCGTGTTCACGTGTCCCCAGGAGAAAGGGCTGCTCCCCGGCACGTGGCCAGGCTGCGACAGTCGAGACGGCAGAGGAGCAGAACCTCCCGGAGCACTGTGTCTGCTGGAGGGCAGCGCAGGGAAGAGCCCTCCATCGTGCTCGTCTGCGTCCTGCTCTGCTGACACAGTCAGGTTTCAGCCTTTATGGACAGCAACACCTGGGACTCATTTTAGACAGGAGCTGCTGCTTCCACTGCAGACCTCAGCTCTGTTCTAAAGGTTACTCACTCCTGACCTCCTCCCACAAGAAGGAAACTGACCCATCACACACTTCGTTAACAGAAGGCCTGAGGTCTGACACGAGCGCTGGGTTAGTTCTAGCCACGATTACAATGTTCTCTTATCATTTGGTTGGAATACTGTGTTGCAAAACTGCAGCGAGAGGAGTGATGAGGTGCCAGTCCCGTGTCCAACCTTCCCAGCTTTTCTAAACGCTAACACGTGCCTTTATACTCCTCCTGTGGTTTCATGTAAATTCACACACACCCCCTCACCCGTGGAAAATAAAAATTGCAATGTTTTCCTTTTAATTTACTCCTAAATTACTTTTGATTTTCAATACTTTATTCATCCATAGCAGGTTCCAGGAAAGAGCTAAATCTGCTGGGAATTTGCTTTCACTTTTACGACCTCAGACACGGAACAAAAGGCTCTTTCAGGTGCCCTGGCACTGTGCCTGGAGCGCAGGGAAGGTCCCTCCAGCCCTCGTCAGGCGGGCACTGGTGCACTCATCTGTCAGAGCCCTGAACCCCCTCACTCTGCGCTGCAGTCACACTGGATCCGGAGGAACCGGAGCAGCTCCATCTTCGGCACAGGAGCCTGTCTGTGTCTGTCAGCACAGACGCACGTGGGGCTGGGGCTTGGGCTCGGGAAGAGAAAAGCAAGCAGGATCGTGGCGCTGCAAACTGAACCCCAGCATCCCAACAGATGGCTCAGTCGCGCAACAGCTATCCAGCCCGGTTCAAAAAGGAATGGAGAAAGGTCATCTTTCTGAGAATTCACATTAACACCTTCAGTTCTGAAACTGTTTTGCAGTTACCAACTCACTCAGATCTGTCAAAACTCCTCGCCTGCTGCTACCCCTCCTTGAAAGGGGGCACAGGGGAATTTATTATTGCATGCTGAGTTTTCAAGATTTAACCAATGGTCATAATTGTCTCTGGCTGTTCTACTGTAACGTCAGTTTGAAAAGGAAACTACTATACCGTGTTTAATTAGAAGCATTATGGCAGTTAAAGCTGGTTTTAAGCTAGACTGGTGTTTTCTTATGGTAAACAAAAATGAGAATAAAGTTCATGTAGCAACACAAAAAAGCCTCTCTTGGGTAAAACTTTTGCACTGAAGAACAGACAGACAAGTATGACCTTTGGCAAAGTTCACACACTGAAAGCCATGAGTAACCTGGCAAGGCAATAAAATAAAAAAAGAAAAAGGGAGAGAGGCAGAGAGACTGTGAAGTCCAAACAGACAACCTCCATGTCACCCAAGCGCGATACTTGTTTCCCAAGAACTGATGCACACAGAAGTACCCACCAACGTGAATAGGGGCTGGAAACAATCCATGCTCATGCTCTCCAGGAGTGTACTCGAGCTTCTCCTTCTTTAACTGTATGAGGCGGCTCTTCGGACTGTGGACAACAGCAACAACAACAAAAAAATCAGAGCGAGGAACACCTGTCACTTGCAAAAAACACATTATTTGTTTCAATTAAGGCGCAAATGTCTAGAACATGAAGTAAGAGAGTAAGAATAGAAATGGCCAAAAACATTGATTTCCAGGTTGCTTGCCAAATACACTTATCACATCTGCTTCAAAATTCGTGATTTGATTTTTCTCTGTAACTACCATTAGGCAACACCTAATGGCACACCATCAACTTCAAATTCCTAGTATGTGATATAAAAGTAACAAATAACTAAGACTACAAAAATAAAAGATCAACAAATCATATCTGATGTTGCTCGCTCAGGTATCTGACACGTTATACCCGTATGGTGCCTGCTTTCCTAATGCGCTAAGAGCAAACGTTCCCCGACAGGTGTCAGTTCAGGTCCAACGTCCACCTCCCCATGTCCACAGATTCAGCGTAAAGGAAGTCAACAGAAAAATGAATTATGGTAAACAAACTGCAAGGAGGAAACCAGCATGGAAAGGAAATGCAGAAGGCAATTATCTAAAACCACAAATTATAACATGAATTTCTTTAGGCACTGCAGACACTCCCATTTTAGAGCCAGTCATAAAGGACCCTGGGGAAAGCACTGACTCTGTTTTCCTTCCAAACACAGCGATGAAGTATTGTCAGAGGCATGTAAAAAACTGTTACGACAAACCAGTAAGCTGAACAAAGACCATCAATACTTCAGGGACTTCAGAGGAAAAGGCTGAGATGCCAAAATAAAGCATAATTTTTTTGTGAAAAAAAGGAATATATTAACATAGTAACTCATAAACAACACACACATAAATTACCATGCAAAAAAAAAAAGGCTCAGGAATTAAAAAAGGCCCCTCTACACTATCAAAAGAAGGTCTGTATTAACTGGCCCATGTATTCCCACTAGGAATGGTGAACCAGACTGTGACTCCTCTAGGAAACCCACTGCTGGGCAAACAGGTAATGACCCCTGTACAAAACCTTTTGTTCTCAAAGCTGCAGCCTTGTGCAACCACACAATGAACTTCTCTCCAGCAGAAGATCTGGGTAATTCTTCCAGTGGGAGCTGAGGATTCTGGAAAACTCATATGGAGGATAATGTCAGATCAGCTAATGCTGTCTGCAAAATTCCATCTGGAAACTGAGGTAGAACTGAGACTGACTCCAGAGCTGTTTCTTTCATTCTTAGTTCATTTGCAAGGAACCACAGTCTGAGCTTTCCTCACTGCGTTTTAATAAAGTTTCGAGCTGAAGGTGAGCTGGAGTGAAATCCCGTTGAGGCAAGTTGTACAATTCAAGTGGCTGCAGCAGAGAGACTCTGCTCATTTTCTACCTGCTGTTTAGCAGTTGGATGTGACTGATCTACAGAGAGGCTGTGACTTGTATGAACCTCAGTAAAACTTCCACTGCTCCTACACTCTGATGACATTCAGGGAGTATTTAAGACCCACTAAGGAGGAAAATGGTTTTTAAGGCCATGTCTGCAACTGAACACTGCAGACAGAAATACACACCAGTGAGCACAGCACCCGTTAACAGGGAACGCAGCGCCGCTCTAGCGCAGACGGTGATTAAGGCTCAACGGTACCGTCACTAGAGGGTGCCCTGCGATTACAGTCGCAGTTTTGTTCTCAACCAAGAGCATGTTTTCCTACTCATACAGCAGGAAGTTATTTAAATAATAGGACAACAACATGAACTTCTGCTCTCCTCTTGCACTGACATACGTCTGACTGGAACAGCAAGTTAAATCTGCAGAAAATGTAATTATAAAAAAGTGATTATGGCTCTGCTGATTCAGTTCACTGAAGCAAATCAGTAAAGAAGAGACCCAGTGCCAGCACGAAGGAATGGTGGGGTCAGCCTGTCAAGCTGCCTAAACGGAGATGGTCACAGCTCTGTCCTCACCCAGCTACGCATTTCCGTGCCTCGTGTCAGTACCAACGTCCCAACAGCCATGCAGAGAGGCAGCAGGGCAAAGCCTCCTTCGTAAGCAGCTCATCACAAACTGATGTGTCAGGGCAAGGGAAGAAGCCGGCATGTGGAGCAACAGGCAAAGGGGAAGCACAAATCAGACCTCTTTACGCTTCCAGGGAACTGCAACACCAAATGTGACAGGAGAGGGAGGGTTGTGAGGAGACCTCAGCCCTGGCCTTCTCCAGGGTGGTGAACTGGATTCCATCATCATCCACAACACCCACAAACCTTGCCTTACATTCTAAATCTTCACTGGGTCAGATTCTGATAATTATCATGCATGTAATCTTTCACAGGCTTGATTTAAATTGATGGTTTTATTTCAGCTACTCATTAGTAGCAGCTCTTTATGGCTCTAGTTGAAAGGAGACAGTTTCCACTGGAGTATCAGACAGCAGCTTTTCACTGGTAGTACTTACTCTGTTGTTTTGTACACATCAGAGTAGAGCCCCGCCTTCTGGTACTTCTTCTTTGGAGGTCGAGGTGCTTTTTTCTCACGCTGGGCCAGAGAAGGCAAAGGCTGTTCAGTGTTTTCAGATTCATGTGGCTTCCCAGGGGCATCCTGTGGACTGGGAGGTTCAGCTGCTGTCTCAGAAAAACTAGAAGAAAAAGTAAACATCAAAAACCATCTTACCACACAAATTATCTTGCCATATATCATTATTCCTCTCTATAATCTGGTCAGCAGAAAAAAAGTCCACATCTCAGATATTTAAAAAAAAAATGCAATTCAATGATCACAATCAAACAGTGGTTAAGCACAATCACATGAAATGTACACCCTTTTTACAGTAATCATTATTACAAAAAGAATGCTGCTTGTATGGCTAATGTTTATCCCTTGGAGCCTCAGCTGAGTAATTTAGAAGGTGGCTCATGCTATCTGCTGTTGTACTCTAAAAACAGTACGTGGTAAACCTTTCCTGAGCCTTCGGGAGAGCCGTACAATGCACCCTTTGAACGTGTGATTCCAGCAATATTCTGTGAATCTGAATGCCTGTATTACAGCAGTCATTTCTGAAACACACATGGACGGTTATTTTTCAGAACCATTCTGAAAAGACACAAAGGGAGACTTCTGGAAGAGTTTATCTGTTTATATCGATGACTTTGGTGGCAACCATGGGAAGATTAGACCAGAGACAGATTTCTTGCGTGGTCCTTTACTGGCCAGTGACGGCACAGGTGCACACCTTCAGTCCTCCTTGCCACTTTGGGTTTACTCTTTATTTGCTGTCTCTCCACTGATCTCACCTGACGCTCTGTGTTGGTGTAGGTATTTGTTTGCAATGGATATGAATCACGCTCTTTAAGATTCCCATGGCTCAGGCAGCTCTTACAGTTCCTCATTCCGCACACAATGAAGGAACAATCTGTGCTATGATATCTCATCAGCAAACCTGTTACCAGCTCATTACAAGTATTCTTCACCAAGGCAATCACAAAACTTGCTTCACTTGAGACACAAGCACAAACCCAGCAGGTTTGGGTTACCCGAGATTCCACCCCATTCCGGGGTGTGTTCACTAACTGGGGAAGACCCTGAGCCCACCTAAAACCCTGGCATGTTGGTTCCCTCTGAACTGAACTCCTTAATTAAACCAAACATAACAATCAGAGCTCATTAGAGTAGGATTCTTCCACAGATTGAAATGTTATAAAATCACCAATGACCATATTGAGGGTACAAAACTGTAAGGGAATTACCTCTTATTGCTCTCCTGTTCGTCTTCTGGTAAAGACTTTTGTCGCTTCCTGGCCTGTTCCTCTGCAAGCCACCGCTTCCTCTTCCAGCCCTTTCGGTGATCTGTGTTCGAGTTCACGCTTTGCACTACGGCTTCAATCACATCTGTGATGGTATCGGGTCCGAGGTGTAAGGGACTGCTGCTTTCTTCTCTTTTCTCTAACTCCTGACTGACCAGCCGAGCTGCCTGGAAAGCCTGCATTGAAACAACAGCCTGCATCGGGTACTTCCGCGGCCGACCTGGCCGGCGCTTCACAAAATTATTCCCTGTCCGTGACTGCCTTTGCAGCTTTTTGGCTTTCAGAATTTTATTGACGTGGTCAAGATTTTTTTTTGTTGCCAAGATCTTGTTATAATTGCACATTTTCCTCGCTTGTCGCTGCATGGCTTCAACCACGCTTCTCTTGAGATGGTGCGGGGAGTAGCTGCTTGGCAGCCTGTCCGACAGCAGCGAGATGCTGTCGCTGCAGGAGCTGCTGGGAATCGCTGGAGCGATGACGCTGTCCTGCTTCCCCAGAGCTCTCTCCCTGCTGTGGTTTCGAGCAGGACTAGCCGAGGGCGGAACAGACACGTTTGCAATCACCGCTTCTAAGGTTTTGTCCAAAGCAGCCTGGCCCTCGTGCTGCGCCATGCGCTGCAGCAAGCCGTCCACTGCATCGTCAACAGCAGGCGCCAGCCTCGCTCCCCGGCTGGGGACTCCCATCACTGAAACACAAACACACACGTACGCTGAAAGAGACTCGATACACGCTGCCGCTGCCACAGGTCCCACCGCAATGCTGTCTCAGCTGTCTCTGCTAACACAGGACTCAGTGTGGCAGTGGTCCCGAAAACAAGGCCACCAAATGTGACTTGCCTGTAGAAGATGTGCTCTCAGATGTTGATCTCTTTCTGGAAGGGCTGCAGTTTGTGCTCTCTGACTGCCTCTGGGAAGGTTTGTCCTGTGTTGGCAAAGTGCCTAAAAAGCAGATCAGGGAAAAGAGAAGCACAAAAAAATCATTTCAGTCTGGCAGTGCCACTACAACACACTGTAGATGGTAAATATTCAAACCATGATCACTCTTTTTTAGCTTTAGGAACACTTGCTTGCCATGATGCACGCAGGTGGAGAAGGATGGAAACGGACCATCAAGAAGGAACTTCCCACAGGCTGATGGCATAGGTAGGACAGTAAACAAGCCATGAGAAAAAGCCACCTCACATCATCAGAGTGTTAGTGTTTATGTAAGAAAAGAAAACAACCCCCTGTATTCCTGCTTCCAAATGAACCCCCTAGCTTCCTTCCTTGATTTTCACAGAACAGTTCAATCTGGAAAGGACCGCTTCCTGGTGAAGATCTTCTGATCTTCTTGCAGGGCATCCTGACGTAGAGATGGTGCTGGTTGGCTCTTAAAGAGGGCTTTTGTGCTGTCTGTCCCTACAACCCGCAGGTAAAAAGGGAGCTGCAGTGCAGCTGTGCAGGGAAGCTACACACGGTTGCTTAATATTAGAAAGCGCAGTCAACTGTCTTTTTATTCCATAATGAATTCTTCTACTGAGAAACTACAAGATGCATTGATTTCATAAAGCGTAGATTAGCACAAATACCCTGGGACCTCAGAGAAAAAAAAGAATCATGCATCAGGAATAACTGGCCTAAGCAGGAGCAGGCTGTAAGCTATAAGAGGGAAAAAAAAAAAGAGAGAAATCCGGGGGGATGGCTCGGATAGCAAAGCTGTCGGTAACTGCCTGCTGACAGATGATGTTTCTACCCTGGAGTCTTCCTTCTTCCACAGATGCGGGGCTTGTTTCCAGCGTGCATCC